AAGTTACTTAACTCTGGGTTAGAGTAACTGGCAGTTACGTACACGGTGAAATGAAATTTTGGACTCTAACCTAGAGTTGCTCTCATAAAACCTGTTTTGAACTCTGACTGAGGGTTAGGGTCAATGGTGAATACGGGCGTTAAAGTTACTTAACTCTGGGTTAGAGTAACTCGCAGTTACGTACACGGTGAAATGAAATTTTGGACTCTGACCTAGAGTTGCTCTCATAAAACCTGTTTTGAACTCTGACTGAGGGTTAGGGTCAATTAGGTTACGAAATCAAACACAAAAACGTACTTTCTTTGAATAAACATACACTTTTTTTTTTTTTACATATTTGGAATCTAGACACTTGAAATAGGGGGTATTAAATTGGGTCGCAATAAAGGTTTATATATTTGGCGATAGTCCAGAAAACCGCCAAAATAAATCGCCAGCGCAAATGAATATTTTAAGACAACCCATTTACTAATTCAAAAGACGAATGCTTAATTTTACTAGGTTGCTAGGCAACCAAGCTCTGACTGTAAAAAAATTGAAATAATGTTCTGTGATTGCTGAAAGAGGTTTAATTAATTGTTAATAGAAAATATCTCGAAGTTTCTAGGCAATAGACAATTTTTAAGCTGATTTCTGTCCAAAAAGCAAAAAAATTTTTTAATTTAATCTTCTTTGAAAGGAAAACTTGAATCAATTTATAAATTATGTATGATTTTCTAAGTTTTTAGAATTTAAATACATGAACTTTTTATCTGATATTATTTACATTATGTTATTTTTGCTATATTTATTCGAGGATTTCTAGGTTACATGGTTTTCTTTGGATAACGATGATTAGCAAATAGCATCCTCAAGTTTCGATACATTCTGAAACTTACATTCGCAAATTCACCATAAAATGTCGCACAGCATATTTCTCAATTACGATAAGCTACATTTACCACCAAATACTGCTAACATAATTATTTTTGTTTTCTTATATATATGTGTTACTCTCTTTTTAAACAGAGCTCTTAAGATACTGAAATGGGGGTACAGAAACTTAAAAGATAAAATATTTAATTTCATTAACTCAAAATATCTGGTCTCAAAATGTTAATTTTTAAGTTAAATATATCTTTTACAATATTGATGCTCTTACGTTTTTAAAGACCACATGAATCCTGTTAAAATATTAAAATGCATATGTTTACTTTAACGAGTGTAAAATGCTTATCAAAATAATGATCAAGACCCAAATGTAAAACAGCATAATTGACGAAAAAAACTCAAATGGCTTCAAAACATATGAAGAGGGAAGTAAAAGTCGACATGTTTCGAGCGTTTAAAGTAAGCGCCCATTCTCAAGACTTGTCAGGCTTAAATAACTTGTGACTTTTATTATTGGACGATCAAAACATGTCCATTTTTATTATCATCTATTATTTTCTAAAATCAATGAAGTTTTTATACTTTCGATTCAGTTTCTTGGGATTATCCATTTAGTTACACAACATATTAAATTATTTCACTCGATATTAAAATAAGTTTTACACAAGTTATAGGCACAAGTTCTTAGATTAAAAAAATAATAATTCACTACTTTGTAAAAAAATCAATGCAGTAAAAGAAAAAAATGTTTTTTTTGCTGCAACCTTAACATTTTGAATTAAGGACATAAAAAAATTCCGTTTACAATTTAAATTTCAAAAGTCGAATGTGAAAATGGAATGTCCCCTAGTACCAGGAATCGAAATTAAATAGTTACAAGGACAATTATTTCAAACAAGTTAGCGTTTCCGTTTTACTCGAAGTTGTTCGAAAAGGCATTTTTTATATATCGATTCCAAAGTTTATTCTACATATATTTTAGGGTATACTTTCGGAGTATTTCGATCGAGTTTTTTTTGCACCCTTATTTGCTTAAAATTATTAAATAATTTGCTTAAAATAAATTATTCAAGCTACCTGATTTAATGCATTTATAGTATAATAGTAAACGGGGCTTCCACCGCATATCCTTAACCTTAGAACCGCTATCATTAAATAAATGGAATAAGCTTAGATAAATGATAAAAGTTAATTTTTTCCTCGTTTTAATTTTCAAGGAATAATATGCTTCGCTCAAACAGATTTCATTCTGGAAATAGCGAAATTATTGAGTAGGTCCCTTGAAGCAATATCATTTTTATCCTCTTTTGACGAAATATAGAAAAAAATGGTTTTCGCAGTTTCTGTAAAAAGTATGTTAGCCTTCTTGCCACTTTTTTTTTTTTAAACATAAGTTCGGAAATTGCATATTTCTTATAGCATTTTTTTAAAATCAGATGACTCTAAAATTGGCACGGCGTCTGAATCTTCTTACAAATTTCAATTTTTAGTATTTCCTGCCTAATAAAATAGGGCATTTTCCTAATAACAAATTATACTACAATAATATCTTGGGAATCGTGCTAAAGTAAAAAATTAAACGAAATAGTTTAGTTTATTATCAGGAAAAAAATCTACTTGGTATCATAAAGAAAGAGTAAAAGATATAATGAAATAATTAGTCAATCACACGTCGTCAGATAATTAAAAATTTAATTTCACAATTAAGATGTTAGGACGACATTTAAGATACTGAGATATTTTAAGACGTTTAAAAATTTTGGCTACGTATTCGACAGCTTTTTATGTTCGGTATCTTTACTCTTTGTAGTGACTTATAAAACATCAATACTACTTTAGATAATCTATGTTGAAGTCACAAGAGAAAAAAAAAAAGTCAATCAATAATTTATATTCTTTTTTCGAAAAAAAAATTACATGCTTAGTAAATAATCAGCTGTTTTGCATTAAATAATTTTAAACAGCAGAATGTTTTTAATTTCTTAACAAGGTTTTATTCTTAGCTAGCAGACAATTATTCTTTCAAAAAAAAATAATTTAAATTAAAAACTATAATTTAAAAAGGAACTTTACTTTAAAGAAAACCTAAATTAAAGTACTAAACAAATTTATTAGTATATTAATGAAGAAATAATAAACGTAAAAGTGTAAAGAATAAGATTTTCAAAAATGTTAAAATTCAATTAAATGGTAAAATAGTTCTGCGAAGCACTTCCGGAAATTTATTTTAAGATTAAGACGATATAGGGTAAACCAACCAGTGAAGGAACGTTTCATAGATATTTTTTAAAAATAAGATTTTAGACGTTTTAATTTAGATTGATTGGTAACAGTAGCTTACTAACTAACAATAGGAAGTCATCTAACAATGCATTGAGTTACCTGGTCTTTGAGTCTTCTCTGGAAAAAGTTTTGAATTTGTTAGTATCTGTTCAAAGCCTTGTTTCTTTGACAAAATTATAAGGTCAGTGTTTGTAGTTATCAGTTTAAAGTACAATTAATTGCATGTAATAATGCTTTTTTTCTCATTGTGAAAAAGAGAATTCAAAATATGGTTATTGAAGTTACGTTTTATTTATTTTAAGCATCATAACATAAGCAAGTACTGAGATTACGGGGGTGTTTATAGGCTGGATTACCAAACGATGAAAACCCAATGAATGAACAAGTGTTCCTTTACTGGGATTTTTTCAAGTTAATGAAAATAAAAGAAATTTTTTAATTTTCTTGTAATTTTAGTCATATTATACATCAAAATTATGTTAAAAATACAAAAAAAAATCCTCTGGAAATAGATTTCCCAGTGAATGAACAGTATGTGTGAAATATGATTTTGCATGGATAATTAGTAGTTCTGCAATATAGAGGACACCTAAAATTCAGTTAAATGTTTGTATAAGTTTCGGTGACGGGAATATAAGACGTCAAATGAAACAATATGACAATGAAACATCCTCTTTAATAGTAAAAGATAACAAACCATCAAGAAACTCACAAACTCCAATTAACAGGTTATTCGCTAAAAAACATTTAAAAGTTGTTATTAAAAGAACAATTAAAACTTAAACTTTCGATTGTAAATATCTCATACTGCAGGTGGGCGTCACCGGGTTGAAGCAGAATATCGGTACGAAGTCTCGGACGCTGCACAACAACCTTCTCGAAGGCAAACTGTTGTCTCCTTAAGTGCTGGACATCAGCCTCTTCACTCCCTGCCTTGGCCGCCGGTATTCATCCGCGCAGGAACTATTCCGGTTCGTCCTCCTACCTTCGGTCTTCGATCCTTCTACTTCGGTTTTTCATGCTATCTCAGCTGTCGCAACCAACAGCCTTTACAGTAGCCCCCTACCAGCGCTAGCGAGACTTTTCCAGCTCATTTATGATACTTTCCCTGAAACTTAACTCGACGGCCTGGTAGTGTCTTAACCTCTTTTGGCATGTCACCAGGCTCTGGGATAGTAGATTCAACCTCTGTAGATTCGCTCATAGCTGTTGATTTGCTTTTAGGAAATATGTCCTGTTCATCACGGGATACATATGCAGGTTTTAGACGATCCACGTTTACCGTACTCTCTGGGCCATGAATAAGAATCCTAAAAACCTTCTCCCCTCGACTCAGCACTTGAAATGGACCTTCGTATGGTGGCTGCAGGCTTTTTTTCAGGACATCGAACCTCAGGAAAACATGACTGCACGACAAAAAGTCTTTACTTACAAAAACTGCTCCATGACCCCGATGTCTGGACTTTACTGGCAGCAACTCCTGCATGGTCTCTTTTAGCTTTCCAACAAAATTTGTGGGATCCGCTGTACCAGTAGACGGACATAAAAATTCTCCAGGCAGTCGTATCGGAGTTCCATAAACCATTTCCGCTGTCGTTGCTTGCAAGTCCTCCTTCCCTGCGGCTCTAAAACCTAAAAGAATGGTAGGTAAAACTCTGGTCCACTGACTTTTACTGTAGGCTCTAATCGCTCCCTTCATCTGTCTGTGAAATCTTTCCACTTGACCATTTCCTGCGGGATGGTAAGGGCTTGTTCGATGACGAGCCGAACCCAGAAACTTAGTCAGTGCATCAATCAGTGAGGCTTCGAACTGTGTTCCCTGATCTGTTGTGATTCGTAGAGGTATTCCAAACCCAGCAATCCATCCAGCATAGAAAGTCTCAGCAACCGATTTGGCCGGTATATCTGCGAGCGGGTAAGCTGCTGGCCACTTGGAAAAACGGTCGACACAAGTAAGACAGTAGCGAAAACCTTCTGATGGCGGCAAGGGACCTACGATGTTGATGTGCACGTGCTCGAACCTGGCATTTGGTGGAACAAATGTACCAAGCTTGCTCTGCGTGTGACGTGTCACCTTAGAACGTTGGCAAGCCAAGCATTGCTGAGCCCATGTCCTAACATCTTTCTTTACACCAGGTCAAACATCTCTTCCACCAACCTTATAGTAGCTTTAGTAAATGGATGTGAAATAGAATGCAGTTTGGAAAAAATGTTTTTTCTGTCCACTTCGGGTACGAATGGTCGAATCCGTTTGGTAGATACATCACAAAACAGCTCCACACCAAGATCACCTATTATGAATGGTTGAAGTACCAAAGATGAGTTACCGGTTTGAGCCAAAATTTCGGCTAGTTCCTGGTTGCCTTTTTGGTTGTTAGCCATTTCTTGAAAATTGATGTGGGAAGGTGTTTCTATGGTAGCAATGTTTACTCTGGACAGCGCATCTGCAACCACGTTATTTATTCCCTTCACGTGTTGAATATCCGTAGTGGCCAATAAAATCCAAATGACGCGATTGTCTTGGCGAACACTTATCTTCCTTTTGTTTAAAGGCATATATAAGCGGCTTGTGGTCAGTGTAGATAGTAAACGGCCGACCTTCTACCATATGCCGAAAGTATTTGACCGCCATGTACGCAGCCAAGAGCTCTCTGTCGTAAGCACTGTACTTTCTTTGAGATGGTGCAAGCTTCTTTGAATAAAAACCAAGTGGTTGCCACTCTTTCTTGATCCGCTGATGCGAAGCAGCACCCATCGCAGTATCTGAAACGTCTACCGCCATCGCCAACTGTGCATTCATGACAGGATGGTACAGCTTGGTTGAATTAGCCAATTCTTTCTTGCTCTTCTCAAACGCAGCAACTGCTACCTCCGACCACTTGATCGCGCTTTTATCATTTTTCTTAGCACCTTTTAAATATTCGTTTAAAATTGCTTGAGTGTGGGCAGCTCTCGGTATGAATCTTCTATGAAAATTCAAGACCGCAAGAAATTGACTCAGCTCTCTAATTGTAACTGGTTGAGGAAAATTAGCAATTGCAGAAACTTTATCAGGAAGCGGAATAATACCCTTTTCTGTTACACAATGCCCTAGGAATTCTACTGAAGACTGTCCCAAGACACATTTGCTTACGTTGAGTGTTACACCATATTCTTTTACCCTCCAAAATCTGAAAAGAGTCTTGCATGTGGGGAACAGGGTACCTATCTGGCACGGTCTCATCATTAAAACGACGAAAATCACTACACGGTCGCCAGTCGCCTTTCTTTTTTTGAACCATGTGTAACGGACTTGCCTAACAGCTCTTGGAAGGCTGACAAACCCCTGATGCTACCAGAAATTTAAACTCTTGTTTTGCAGCTTTCAACTTATCTGGCGATAAACGTCAAGGTTTCGAAAAAATAGGCGGTCCTTTTGTCTGTATCCAATGTTCTACTCCATGCTTAACTTTTCTTGGCGTGACACCTGACCTAATCAGATCAGGAAATTCTGACAACAAATTGTGGAATTTAGAGTTCTCTAAAATTATCTTTACCGTTGAAGCAATCCCAGCATACCGGGTACCTCTTGTTTGCAACTTGGTCAAAGGATCAATTACTGCACCATTTTTGATGTCGACTAATAAACCAAAATTGCGTAAGAAGTCAGCTCCGATAATTGGATGAGGCACGGCAGCGATGATAAAAGGCCAGCTGAACTCTCTTCTGAGTCCGAGGTCTAATTTCAACAGGTGTTGGCCAAACGTTGGAATCGTCGTACCGTTTGCGGCGAACAATTTCATCTGTGAAGAATGGTCACTAGATGCATGAGCAGCACGAGGCATCACAGAGACGTCAGCTCCCGTATCGATGAGATAACGTGAGGATGTAGACTTGTCCGTCAGATAAAGCCGCTGAATCATCGCTTCGCCGTCACCCTTTTGACTGGATGACTGCCTCAGAAGTTTTCCGGTTGGAACGAACAGGGAGGTCGACATTTTGTCACTCGTTGCTTGAATATTATATGATACAAGCAATACTGTGAATTTGCAGACTGTCGGCTTCGGCTAGTAGAGCGTTTCTGACTAGTACTTCTTGACCGGTCACTTGTACGGGCTTCCAACCATGAGAGACGAGCTATGATCTCTGTCAATAAAGACCGTAAATCCGTCTGATCAGTCGAACCAGCAACTACGCTGACTGACTGTACGTTAGTTGTCGTAGCCATAATACCATCCGCTAGCTTGTTCAGGTTATCGTTGGAAATCGCCAAAATCTGTTGAACATTAGTAGGCAACCTCTGCAAAAATTCGTTAATTCTCGCGCCGGCTTTATTCCGCATTTCCAGAAGCAGTCTTGAAGGACGGCGGTCGTCAAGTTGCACCCCCGAAATCAAATCCCTTAAGCGTTGAGCTTCAGATTCAGCATATTGAGAGCACAATTTTTTTTAAGTGCGGTGAAAGGCTCATCCACTGTTGGACTGATAACAATATCGCTGATAATCGCCAGTTCCTCCGGTTGTAGAGCAGAAACTACGTGGTGAAATTTCGTTGACTCTGTAGTTACTCCAGCAAGAGTGAACAGACTTTCAATTTGTCTGAACCACAATTCTGGATTAGCTCTCCAAAAAGGTGGTGGCTTTACAGTGACACGAGCAATTTGTTGATCAGCAGTTTCCGTAGATTCGGGCATTTTTGGCATTAATCCGAAATGTGTAAGTCCAACAATAGAAGCAATTTGTACTCATGACTTGCCAAATATTTTAAAACTTGAAACGTGCCAGCATTTCTCCGTAATCGATCAACTAGTAGAATTTCCCAAATGCAGTTTGCAGAAACAGAAATATACGTATTCGTTCACAGGTCACCAAGTGTATAAGTTTCGGTGATGGGAATATAAGACGTCCAATGAAACATCCTCCTTAATAGTAAAACAAACCATCAAGTAAAACAACCAATAGTATAACAAACCATCAAGAAACTCACAAACTCCTATTAACAGGTTATTCGTTAAAAATTATTTAAAAGTTGTTATTAAAAGAACAATTAAAACTTAAACTTTCTATTGTAAATATCTCATATTGCAGGTGGGCGTCACCGGGTAGAAACGGAATATCGGTACGAAGTCTTGGACTCTGCACAACAACCTTCAAGGCAAACTGTCATCTCCTTAAGTACTGGACATCAGCCTCTTCCCTCCCTGCCTTGGCCGCCGGTTGTGCTCCTCCGCCGGTATTCATCCGCGCAGGAACTATTCCGGTTCGTCCTCCTACCTTCGGTCTTCGATACGATCCTTCGACCTCGGCTTTTCCTGCTATCTCAGCTGTCGCAACCAACAGCCTCTACAACGTTGTATGAATAGTTCCTGTAACAATTTCATTTCAAACTGCAAATTTAATTGCTAAATTTATCTACAGAATTATAATAATCTATTTATTATTTATCTTTATAAATGTAGTGATTAGTTATTACATCATACCTTAGACACCTTAATAAACTATGATTACTGACTAAATATAACAACTAAATATAATTATAAAAGCTTGAATAGAAAATTTCTTTACAGGCTTTTGTGCCAATAATTAGCTAAATTATTATCTTATTGCGGTCTTTAATGTCCTGACAAGAACTGGTAGGAAAAGTCCATTTAAAGACAATCATCCAGGTGAAAAATGGGTGAAGTTTTTTTTAAGGCGACATCCACCGATAACTCAGTGCAATGCGAGGATAATTTCAAAAAGCAAAACTTCCCTTGGAGAATAATATTCGAAATACTGGTTTTAAGAACTTTAGAAGAATCTTTAGGAGGCTGGCATCCTTTTAGAAAGTGATTGCATTTACCATGAAAACGAAACAAGAGTTGAATAACGGGAAAGATCTTTATCCCTTAAAATTATAAGGATTTATATTCTTAAGTACCTAGGAAAGAAAAAGTACCTCCATTGGTAGTTTTTCCTTACTGAAGAATTCTTTGAGATATTACAGAATCAGTCCCTGCTATATATTTCATTGGAAAAAGCGATTCATGAAATGAAAC